GAACTTTTTGTCCTGCCACCTGTTGAATATGACTATCTCTTTCAAAGAATATCTCTTTTTAAAGAATTTTAAACAGGAAAAGTAAAAATAACAATAAAAGTTTCAAAAAAAGGCTGGCAGGAGAGTAACATAACAGTAGTCAGTACATCGCATGTTGTTATATTCATAGTAGCTCAGAGTACAAGTATAGGCATGAGATAGTGTCCAAAAAAGTATCAGCATAGAGCTAGCTGGGTGTGGAGGTGCAGACCTGGAATCCAGCACTCAGGAGGCCGAGGCAGGAGGACTGATGGGAGTTCAAGGCCACATAGTTGAGGATTTTTTTTTTTTTTTTTCCAGAACTGGGGATTGAACTCAGGCCCTTGTGTTTGCCAGGGAAGCACTTATTCCACTGAGCCATCTCCCCGGCCCCTACATAGTTGAGTTGAAGGTCAGCCTGAACTCCTGAACTGCTTAGAGACCGTGTGTCAGACAGACCAAAAAAAAAAAAAAAAAAAAAAAAAAAAGTATTAGCACAAAATGTTCTTTTCAATGAACTAAGTGAAAATAGCTGTATAACCATCTTAACTATCTTGTGTGTCTGTATATATACATATTTTTTTCTTTTCCTTTCCTCCTTCTCCCCTTTTTCCCATCAGAGTTTTTCCTTTCTTTTGAACCGTTTCTTCCCAGTTCGATGACTCTCTCCTGACTAAGCCCTTAACACTCCTCAGCCTACTCCTTGCTCCTGCAGGCTGAGGGCTGCAGTCAGTTGAGGCTAGTCGAGGGCGACATAGTGAGTTCAAAGCTGATCTGAACTGCGTGATGAGATAGTACCTCAACAAATAAAAAAAGTCCTAGTCATTTAAGATTATTAATATTCTAATCATATCAGGGTTATCTATATAAATCAAAATGTCATTGCATTGTTTGGGACAAAAGGATCGGTGCTACTATAGTTCGAGGAACTCCCTTTGAGGTAGTGGGTGGTTGTCAGTATATTTACAATATATTCATAAGCAACACAACATTTTCCAAAACAGTTTTTTTTTTACTCCACACAATATACTAAACCAGGAATACCCAGCACCTGTATGCACATTCACAGATAAATGTTGCTGTAACCCAACCTGGCGTCTCATCTCCGCTGGTCCGACAATGTAGAATTCAGTCCATGCGCGGCTCCCAACTTCCTCTCAGTGCTCAAAGAAGGGTGTCCTGTGTTCTGGGTTTATCCTCTATTTTGCCCTGGCCCCTTGCAAGGGTGAGCTGGGATTTGGGAATCAGCCTTGTCTGTCTCTCCAGCTATTCCCAACCCTCCCGTCCAATCCTGCCCCTTCCTGCCCAGTGCCTCTTCTGAGCAAGCTGCTGAGGTTGAAGCCCAAACTCTGCCACAAGCTTGCAACCTGCATCTCTGCATCTGGGATCTGAAGAGCCTTTCCTGTCCTGAGGCCGTAGAGATAAGGGGTTTATTGAATTTCACCTCTTCTCTACCTTGAGTCAGGAATTTAATACTTCATGCTTATCTGTTTTTTTTTTTTTTTTTGTAAATTCCCCAGGGCAGTAAGAAACAGTCTGTCTGTACAGTTGCTGTAATTATCGCTGTTGCCATAGCAATCGCATCTAGCAGCAGTAAGGGCCTCCAGCCCTTTCCTTACCGCTGGAGCAAATTGGAGCTAACCTGCTGCCTCTGGCTTCTGACATGCCTTCTGCTCTCTCTGCTTACTCAGGCAGGTAGGAACTCAGGCAGGATTCCGCCCTGAGGCTGTTTCCGGGAGTCCTTCCCCGGACCAGCCAGGGCCTTGGCGGGAAGCAGAACCCATCTCCCAAGGTTTGGAAAAGGACAGTGTGCAGGATGGTACGGGGGCTCTGGAGTGCTGCGGACTCCTGCTTCTAGGGATTCTTTCCAGGCTGTTCTTGTCCTGAATAAAGAAGCAAAAGGCAGAGAGGTTTCACATTTATCAAAGTTAGCAAAATACGCATGCCCTACACAGGGAGTGCGGGCCAATGGAAGTGCGCTTTGCAAGGTGACGAGCACTGGGAAGAAAGTGCAATCAGCTATTATCAGTAGGGGTCCAAAACCTGGCCGGAGGTGGCCGGAGGGCAAGGGCTGCTGTCTTATGCGTATCACCCATTCTGACATCAGATCTAGGCCAATCTATCAAAAACCTTCTTGATTTCACACCAGAGTTCAAGACTGCACTTTCTGATTGGTCCAGGTGCAGGGCTCCGTCTGGGCTTTGTGATTGAAAGGTCAGGCCCACCTGCCTGCTCTGATATGCGGCCTCAGGACTGGGGAAGCAACTGCATTCACTCGCTAAGGTGGCCATCGGTGAGCCACAGCCTGCACAGGAATTTGCTGCCTCATAGTTCTGGCATCTGAAAGCTAGATCCAGGTGTCAAGAGGGGGAGGTCCCTTCTAAGAGTGCCAGGTGTGCCCTGCCCGGGCCTCTCTTGTGGCATCTGGCTGTTTCTTGACTTGTGACAGCCTGAGTCTTCACATGGTTTCTCCCCATAGGACCATCTGTCCAAATTTCGCCTTTATATAAGGTTATCAGTCAAATCCAATTATGAGCCACCCCAGTATTCTCTGGTTACTGCAATGTCTCTTTTCAAACAAGATCACATTTGGGGTGCTGAAGCTTGACATATTTTGGGAGACAGAATTCAACTCAGTAGCATCAGGTGAACATCTGGAAATGACTGGCAGCAGGGTGCTGTCAGCGTGAGGAGCTGGCCGTGCTCTCTAGCCCCTGGTGCCTCTCCACTGGGAGGCTGCTCCATCAGGCTCCCTCGCTCCCCTGGCTTCTATTGGGCTTGTGTAATGGGAGGTGTGGGAAGGAGCTGAAGGGTGCAAATAAAGCTAATCCAGGACAGGGCACTGCAAAGCACCCTTCCCTCTCCTACCCACAGCTTTTATTCCCATGCCTGGTATTTGCCATGTAAGAGGTTAATACTATTAGAAACATGGGTGAGTCCGTGCTGACTGTATCAGGTTTTGGACCCCTACTGATAATAGCTGATGTGTTTGCACGCTTAGTGGCTTAGTCTGTGTTACACTGCTGTAACAGAATACTCCAGACTGGATTCTTTGTCAACAGGAATTTATTTGGATGATGATGGTGGAGGCTGGAACACCAAGAGCAGGACATCAGCATCTGGCTAGTCCATAATGCCCTGTTGTCTTGTGTTGCAAGGTGGAGGGACAAGAGATGGTGCCGTTAACCTTCCTCCAGACCGAGTAAGAGGTGACCAATGCCCTCTGAATGGCCCACCTTCCAACACTGTAGCACTGGGATTAAGTTTCAACCCAGCAACTTTGGAGGTCAAATCCAAGCCACAGCGCTTTGTATTCCGAGTGCTTAAGAGTTCTGTGACGCAGTCCCTGATGATTCTGCCTGTACCTTTGAGCAGCCTGAGGGTTGCTGAGATTCCCGCCCTAACCCATGTCAAGGGCACACAGTTAACGGGCAGGCAGCAATCATGAATTCCAATCACCTGGCCCTAAACCACGGGCAGACCCTTGACCACACTCACTGCTGTGCTTGACCTCGGGGTCTTGATCCTGGAGCTCAGGTTTAGCCAGAGCTGCGTCGGGAGACCTCCTCGTGCCCTTCTTGGGAGCTGACTTTGGGGTCTGCACTTCTGCTGCTGCTGCCCACTGCTCCTCCGTGGATCTTGACTCACCTGTTCCACTCACCTCTGTGCTTCCAGGGCCTGGCTGTGCTGCTTCAGGAAGGAATATTTTCTTGATATCTGTGGCTGCTGTGGGGCATCCGGACACCCCATCTCTGCTGGCGGCCTCCTCAGTTTCATGCACAGGATGGTGGTCTGGGCCTGGCCAGTCTGTGCCTTGCCACCCCTGGCCTGTGGGCAGCCTCCTGCTCAACGCACCGGGGCGCTGTCCCGAGAGGGTTTGGAGCTAGCTCTACGGTTCCAAGGGCCATGGCCAAGGCTCCTTCGAGCTCCCCCACGTTATTTCACGTCTATCATTCTGTTCTGCCCTAACCCAGTCCAGCTTTGTCAGGGATCCCTCCATCAGAACCCCAGCACATCCCACAGCTCCTTCTCCATCCTGTGTTTCTCGGTTTTCCAGCCCAGAGGCCTCTCCAGCCTAGTCCTGTCAGGTTCTGCAACCACGCGGAGGAAACTCCGCCTTTTCATTCCCCACACCTGCTCCACGGGACCCCGCAGGACCTCCCACTCCCACTACCCGCCCGGGTTCCCACCTCTGCCCACTTGTGGGAGCCTCTGGAGAGCATGGAAGCGCGAGCCAGAAGCAGCGTCCTTGGAGACTGTCCTCCCGTGCAGAGTGGGGGCACAGCGCTCTCGAGCTGCGTGTCAACGAAAAGTGCATGGAGAGTTAGCATCCGAATATGATTGCTTTTCATTTTATTGCTGGTTTTTTTTTTAAATCTTTTTAAAAATTATTTATTTATTTATTTGTGTGGCCAGCTCAGCCCACCAGGGGGCGGGGCTGGCTGGCATGTGGTGCTGGGGGATTGAACTGCGGTCCCTGTGCTTTGCTTGGCTTAGCTTGTTCTAAATAGGTGCTTTAGACCACTGAGCCATCTCACCAGCTCTTTATTGCTGTTTTGTTATTGTAAAAAATGCTCTTTTAAACCCCAACTCGCTTGACCTTTCTATTCTGCGTTCTGCATGCTCACCCCTAAGAACAATTTTCTTAAGTGGGGGGTCACCTGGTGTTCCCAAAACACTACCTCCTTGTCTGACCCTTTCCCCGAGCTCTTAGCTGCCCGGGGAGCCCTCCCAGAGGGACCCGATGGCGGGACGACTTCCTCCCGGCGCTCCGGAACTGTAAGCTAGGCGACGCGGGACACAGAAACCCGGCTGTGCCGCGGGAATCTGCAAGGAGGCGTGACCGGCTGACGGGGCGTGGCCGGGTCGGCCGGGCGCAGAGGGCGGATAGAGGCGTGGCCTACCGTTAGGAGGGGTGGGGCGAGCGTGGGGGCGGAGGCGGGGCCGGCGCGGGGCGGGGCCTGACGTGGGGGCGGGGCCGGCGCGGGAGCGGGGCTCGGGCTTAACTGCGCCCGAGCGCTCCCGACTGCGCGCTGCGCATCGCCGGCTACGGCCCCAAAGCCGCCGCGCCTCCTCCGGAGCGGGCCGGCCTGGTGCGGCCGGGGTGATGTGAGCAGGGGCACCGCGGGCGCGGCCGGCCGCAGCGATGTGGCTGAAGCCGGAGGAGGTGCTGCTGAAGAACGCGCTGAAGCTCTGGGTGACCCAGAAGACCAGCTGCTACTTCGTTCTGCAGCGGCGGCGCGGCCACGGCGAGGGGGGCGCCCGCCTCTCGGGTGAGGACGCGCGGGGCGCCGGGGCCGGCCTGGGGGGGGGGTGCTGCGCCTCCAGATCTCGGGCCGGGCGGGCCGGGGACAGCGCTGGCACCTGCCTCGGCCACCTGGCCCGGGGGCGCCTGGAGGCCACCCCGGCTCGGGCACGGGCACAAACGCGGGCTGGGACTGACCGGAGATATCGCGGGGGACGGTGGGTCGCGAGCTAGGCGGCAGCGGCAGGGTGCGCAGGCCAGGCCCGACCCGGCCCCCTGGGCACCGTGGCCCAGGTGGTGACTGGCTGGGACGCGCGGCCGCCCACAGCGGAGACAGCTGGGGCTCGGGGTGTCTGTCTCTGCGCCCGAGGCGGAGGCGAGGCAGTACCTTCCCAACCTTCTGATCTTAGGAGCAAAACTGAGCACTCGATTCCCCTTCCCCCCAGCGTATTCTGAGGAATAAGGAAAAATTAAAAAATCCCTCAGTCTTGTGAAGTTGATGGAAATCAAGGCTTTTTTTTCCTAAAAGTTAGAATCCAAAGCTTTTTGAAATTGAGGCCAGTTTTCAGAATTAACTAGAATACCTGTTTAAACAATTCAATGAGGGGAAATCCAGTGGGATCTATGGGGATGGAGATGAAAATTTGATTTCAGAGTAAGAAAAGGGACTTTAGGGTGTCCCCTCACGTCCTCCTGCCTAGGAAAAGAGTAAGACTGGAGATGGCAGAGGACAGCCTGTGTTCCCAGGTTAGTTGTTGGTGGCTTTCTGCTCCAGGGCCTGTCTGGGCCAGGCCTTCAGGGGTGGGGCCAGGTGGGGGTGCAGTTGGGTTAGTTGGAGGAGGGCGCTTCACTGAGGCCCTCAGAGAATGACCTGTGGGATTGTAGCCAGAAGTCTGGATGGAGTGGCCGGAGGTGCTGGTGAGCTCCAGGGACAGCCTGGATGACAGTGACTTTTGGGAGAGGAGTTAGGGTAGGTGCAGAATGCTGCAGGGGCCTTGGAGGAACCCTGAAGATACTGAGGTGCCCAGTGCTGGGTGTCAGGGACATGGTTTGGTAAAGCCCAGAGGGTAGGTGCCTAAGCTGGGAAGAAGCTGGAGAGAAGTGTGAGCCATGTGCCCAAGGCGTGGATCTCACCTGGGGTGCACCAGAGTAGGTGCCTGGCCTGTGATTGTCTCCGTCAGTAGGGGCTGAGCACAGGGCTTGGACACTTGGGGACCGGCGGTGGCAGCACCCCCCATGCTGGTTTGGAAAGGGCCTCTAGCATGTTCATCTAGCTGGTGTCTGTTCCAGTGAGCGTCAGGTCTGCGTCCCTCAGGGAAAGTGTCTAACTCTCGTGTCCAGGCCGTCTCTGTGCTGTACTGCAAACACTGGGGTCCCTTCCCCATTCCATTCCACAAAGAAGCCACATTGTAATACCTGTGGCTTTGCATTTCCTTGCTTTCTCCTTTGGCTTCAACTTGCTTTGATTGTGTAGACATTTCTTAAAGATAGTGGATTCAATTGAAAGAGACCAGCCTCCCCCCCTCAAAAGAGGACACTTCGCTGTATTTCTGGAAGACCCTGTTGATTGTGTGCAACGTTGACATTTCTGCTGCAAGGGCTTGACCTTTGAGCCTTAAGCCGGAAGCAGATGGGCGTGGCTGTGCCTATTGGTGACAGGTAACTTAGGTTATTGCCCCCACACTGGGCTTCTGGGGCCGCTTAGCAGTGTTGTGAAGTTGAGACTGATGGGACACAGGGCGACTCCACGTTGATGGTGTATAGAAAATGCAGAAATGTGATTTGGTAAAGTTTTAGCGGTTTTTTTGTGGAGTCTAAACTTAGACTTTGTTTATGAAAGTAACAGGCTGAAGTGATGAGTGTGGTGGCCAGTTCTCATTTGGAGGTGCAGGTGGCTAGCAGGCACTGGCAATAAAACTTGGAGATGCAGTACTGAAAAACATCTCCTCTTTTATTACAACCGTAAGCTCATTATTGGGTGGCAGGCTTTAAACATAAAGTCTAGAGATTAAAGTAATCCGATTCACACAACTTCAGAAACATGAATTTGTTTCATTTGAGGATTATACTGTTCTCTCTCTCTCTCTCTCTCTCTCTCTCTCACACACACACACACACACACTTGTATACATCCCCAGTTTTTTTTTTTTCTCTCTGTAACTCACTTTTATGTTGTTGTTTGGGGGACTGGGGATTGTACCTAGCATTGAGCTGGATCCCCAGCTTTTTCTGAATGTTTTCTTTTGAGACAGGATCTCGCCAAGTTACCAGATTGCCCAGGCTGAGCAAGCTTGTGACCCTTCATCCTTCAGACTGTGGGATTACGGGCGTGTGCCCCAGGCCCAGCTCTTCCTCACTTTCGGATGTGCGGTCCGCCGTACATGGTGAGCCATTTCATGGCTTCCCCTTGCTAAATGCTTGTTTACCAGGGCAAGGGTTTTCTCTGTAAAGGCACCCAGCACATAGTACATATTCAGCAGACATTTGCAGGATGATAGCTGGGTGAATCTGCGCCTGCCCAGTGGATCTCAGGTCTTTAGAGGCTGGCTCTGCCTTGAGACCCCACTTTACCAGAGGCTGAACTGATCCTGTGGCAGAAATCACCCAGTTTCTTCTCAGCTTCCTGCTTACCTGGTAGAGTGGCCGCTGTGGGAAGCTGAGGGGCAAGTAGGAAACTGCCCTCCCGTGTCAAAGAACCTGTGCGAGAATAAGGACTGTGGCACCGACTTCTGCAGGGGGCAGGCAGGGCAGGCGCAGGTGGCCCTGCTGATGCCCTCCTGGGACCTGGCTGGAGAATGAGGTTGTGGGCTCGGGCAGTGCCGGGCGGCCACCCTCCGGCTGCAGCCTGTGTCTCTGGTGTTACCTGATGTCTCTCATGCCTGCTGACACAGGTGCCTTTGCTGCCCTGGGTTGCACTGTGCTCACTTGGATGTGATCAGCAGCTCCTGCGGACAGTTCTGATAAAACTTCATTTGGCCCTGGGAGAACAAAGAGAGATCAAGAAGAGAAAGGCACCTGCTTGTGAAAGCAGGGACCCTGCACAGCCTCCATGCGCTGCCCGGGTACTCCAGAACCCTTGGCCCCAGAGACCCATGTTGCTGTCCAGAAGTGCCCCTCCGAGGTGCTTTATTTTCTTGTTTAGTGCTTGCTCTTTGCACCCTTGTGTCATCTTGCAGTTCTTTTCCTAGAAAGGTGGTGCCGTACAGTTATGGTTAGACTGGAAAGGCCGTTGCTGTGTTCTGCTTTTCAGAGTGTGCGCCAGACGTCTCCTTCCTACCACTGCACCTAGGATAGGTGTGCTCGCCAGTCCCATGCACAATCAGGGTCTGGGAGGAAGCGTGGGAGGTGGTGGAGCGTGACTGGTGCAGCTCTGGAGTCAGGGTGGCCTTGGTCACAGTCTGGGCGAGAGGCCTTGGCCGTTTTATCTAGTTTTGGAACCTTAGGGATGGCTTGGTGTTAGGACAGGGAGCTCATGAAGATCCCTTGGAGGATTAGATACTGCTGTTCATGTCAGGCGCTGCCCTTTTTCATTCCATAGTCAGTGTACGGGGTTCTGATGACAGTAAGGGTTAGACTCACACAGTATACCTGGTACTTAGCAGGCTTGACGAAAGAAAAGCCACATTTACAAAATTTAGCTTATTGGACCTGGTACACACAGATCTGCAATTCTAGCACTCTGGAGGCTGAGGCAGGAGGATGGCTGTGGGTTGGAGGCCAGTCTGTGCTACATAGTGAGACCCTGTCTCTACAAAAAAACAAAACAAAAACCCAGCTTAATTAACATGAGGGCTTCTGCGTGTGAAAGTGTGAAGAAGCATGGCTGCAGTGAAGGATGTGGAGGCACTAGGGAAGGTCATCATGTGTAATGAAAAATGAAATACAGGCAAATCGGGCTCAGTAGTACTTGGTGGCAATGGAAAGGCATTTCGAAAGCTTTTGCACGACTTGGATACCGGGCTTCTTCAGCCGTGCAAAGAGAGAACTCCACGGTGGTGTTGGCTCAGGCCTTCAGTGCATGCCCTGCTGTGTCCAGAGACGCCCAGAGGCCAGGCGGTATCACGGGGCCCCTGGCTTGCTGCAGATGCCTGTGTCCAGAGGTTGAGACTGCTGAAGTCCAGCGGGTTGGTGGGCTTCGAGGACACGCTGCCTGGTGCGGGCTGGGTTTCTGGGGCTTTGTCTTCACCGACAGTGCGATCCTTGGCTCAGGATGCCTCAGACATTGGCCTTGGAGTCGTTCATGCTGTGATTTGATTTCTTACGGCTCCAAGGAAGAAACCACAAAAAATTGAAGTAGTGGGAACTTAGGTGCCTGGAGCTAAAGATTGATTGGGGGGGGGGGTTAGGTATATAACTCAGTGGCATAAAACCTGCCTGGCAAACACAAGGTCCTGAGTTCAATTCCCGTACCAAACAACAACAACAACAACAAAAAAAAAAAAGAAAAGATTTTTTTTTTTTTTTTTTTGACGCAGGGTCTCAGTATGCAGTTCAGGCTGGCCTTCAACTTAAACTATGTAGTCCAGGCTGGCCTAAAACTCAAGGTGAGTCTCCCGCCTCAGCTTCCTGAGTGCTGGGATCACAGGTATGTACCACCATGTGCGGCTGGTCTAAAGAATTAAATGGAGGAAAAACCAATAGGTGTAAAGGCTGATAAAAGAAATAATAAAGCCTTTGCCTACCCTGTGACAGTTTTTAACTCCAGGGCAAATAAAGGATTGCATAGGGTAGGTGAACGTTTGTAGCTTTGAAATGAAGCTCAGCATTTATTTGTAGTCATATAAAGATAACATAAGTGGTACCAGGCTGGTTCTGTGCCAGGCCATGGCAGGTAGCAGTGGTCAGGACAAGAGGTGACTGACGGCGAACGCAGCAGCAGGGAGAACAAGCCCCAAGAGCAGCGCGTTGCTGGGAGCAGAAAAGGTGACTGTGCCAGAGTTTATGAGATCTGCAAACAGCTGAAACTAGAATTCCGTTTGACTGAGGATCTGTTCCCTCCTGGGTGTCACCCCCAAAGAGTGAAGGACA